AGAGTCTTGCTCTGTTGCCTGGGCTAGAGTGCTGTGGCATTAGCCTAGCTCATAGCAACCTCAAACTCCTGGGCTCAAGCAATCCTCCTGCCTCAGCCTCTTGAGTAGCTGGAACTATAGGTGCTTGCAACCACACCCGGCTAATTTTTTATTTCTATTTTTAGTTGCCAGGCTAATTTTTTCCATGTTTAGTAGAGATGGGGGTCTCACTCTTGTGCAGGCTGGTCATGAACTCCTGACCTCAAGAGATCCTGCTGCCTTGGCCTCCCAGAGTGCTAGGATTATAGGTGTGAGCCACCGTACCCAGCCTTAAAAACCAAAACTCTTTCTCAAATTATCACGCAACCCTTTGCTGGCATTAAATTCTCTAGCTTTAGATCCATCACCTTCCTTTAGCTTTAAGTTATCTTTTAATGGCTTCATTTTTCTCTCAAATCATACTAACTTGTCTAAGCATGCCTTTCTTATAGCAATCCTGCACCCATATAAAAGCTTCATTTTTAACATGAGATAAAAAGGTATTCCATAAAACGTGTAAAATTTTGCACTGGCTGGTGTAGCTACAGCAACAGTTTCACAAATTTCCTTTTTTTCCCCAGTGGTCCTTATGCTGGATTCATTTATCTTGAAATGGCAGGCAATGGCAGCTGTAGGCTTCAATCTAAGGTACATATCAAGCAATTCAACATTTTCTTGTAATGCCATGGCTTTTCTCTGCTTCTTAGGAGCACTACCAGCATCCCTAGTGGCACTTCATATGGGTCCCATTGTATTATTCAAGGTTTACAATATTGTATTAAACATGATGAAAAATATGTGAAAACCTCAAGAGATCACTTTATAATGAGATATGCAATTTATTGGAGAAATGAACTGCTCACACAGAGACGCTTAGCACCATACAGTGTTTTAAGGAGGTACCTGCAACACCGAAGGTATATTTTCGTAGTTATTACAATAGCACAATATGTATACAGTTAATTTTATGCAGTTATGACTTAATATTCATCTTTACATTTGTTTACATTTCTCTTAACTGTGAATGGTGTCCTGTACTGTCTGAAGTGTTTGAATATGTAAGTTTTAACAAATTTTAACTTTTTATAATAGCTTTATGTATATTTTATGGTAGTAAATGGTGAAATAGACTAGTATCCACATATACTTTATGTATTTATGACATACCTTTTTCTTAATTTTTTCAGAATTTCTATGCTATGTGGTTCATCTGCAAGTTTTTCAAATTGTCACAAATCTCCATAAAAAATTTCCAACATAATTATTTAAAATAATCTACATATAAGTGGGCTGGGCGCAGTGGCTCACGCCTGTAATCCTAGCTCTCTGGGAGGCCGAGGCGGGCAGATTGTTTGAGCTCAGGAGTTCGAAACCAGCCTGAGCAAGAGCGAGACCCCGTCTCTACTAAAATTAGAAAGAAATTAATCGGACAACTAAAAATATATAGAAAAAATTAGCCAGGCATGGTGGCGCATGCCTGTAGTCCCAGCTACTCAGGAGGCTGAGGCAGAAGGATCACTTGAGCCCAGGAGTCTGAGGTTGCTGTGAGCTAGGATGATGCCATGGCACTCTAGCCCAGGCAAAAAGAGTGAGATTCTGTCTCAAAAAAAAAAAAAAAAAAAAATCTACATATAAGTGGACCTGCACCATTCAAACCTGTGTTATTCAAGAGTCAACTGTACTAGATTTACAGTGAAGAAACCAGAAAGCTAAATATTTCCCTAAATCTGGTCCTAAAATAACTATTAACACTGTGAGAAAATCCTGGAGATGAGGTGCTATCTCTTTGTAGCTAAAACATATTGAGTAAGACATATAAAGTAAAATGACTCCATATTTAATAGGCAATTATATTGCTGGTGCAACAAACAGCTAAAAATTTAGTGGCTTAAAACAACATGAACTCTATCAACCTTACAATTCTGCAGGGTAAATGTCCAACACAGGTCTGTCTCATTGGGCTTAAATATCAAAGTGTCAGCAGGACTACATTCCCTTTTGGAGGTTCTAGGGGAGAATCCGTTCAATGCCCTTTTCAGCTTCTGAAGACTGCCCATATTCCTTGGCTTGTGGTCCCCTCCCTCATCTTCAAAGCCAGCAACAGCAGGTTGAATCCCCACATCACATCACTCTGACCTCTTCTGGTGACCCCTTCCATTTTTAAGGCCCCTTCTAATTACGCCCCCATGGGCAATCCAAGCTAATCTCCCTATCTTGAGGTCAGCTAATCACAACCTTAAATTCCATGTACTACCTTAATTCCCCTTTGCCATATAGGGTCACATAGTCACAGGTTCTGGGGATTAGAACACAGACACCTTTGGAAGGCCATTACTCTATCACAACTATAATTCTATGTATAATTTTCGTATTGTCATTCAAAGGTAATTGACAGCTATCATAATGAGCTTGAAATATTGCAAATAGCTTCTGATTTATAGATTTAAATAAATCATGTTAATGGCCAGAACAGAACCAAATAGCATAAATTTTACCAAATAGCAAAGACAGTAAATTCATCTCACCCTTTCTAATTTTTCAGGTATAAGTTCTTCCTTAAGACCACTGGTTTCTTCCTCTTCATCATCTCTTTTCTTCTTTTGATTTTTTTGTTGACGTTCCCTTTCCGCATGCTTTCTCTCTTCTTCTAATTTAGCCTTTTTCTGAGCTCTTCTCTGCTTGCTAAGCATTTTTTTCAATTCTTTGGCTGACAGGTTTTCTACAGATATCCAAATGAACAAAATCCTAAGTCAATGTTTGCATTTTCCCTCATATTCTTCTACAATACATGCTATTAGTACAGTTGTCTCTCAGTATCAGTGGGAGACTGGTGCCAGGACCCGCCAAGGATACCAAAATCTGTGGAGGCTCAAGCCTGTGATATAAAATGGCATAGTATTTGCATATAACCTGTGCACATCTTCCATCCTCCCGCAGTACGCTTCAAATTATCTCTAAATCAGCTTTAGATCTTTCACCTTCCTTTTGCTTTAAAGTTGTCGTATAATGACATCCTTTTTTGGTGAATCCTATTAAAGTCTATACGTATGCCTAATACAATGTAAATGCTATGTAAATAGTTGTTATACTATATTGTTTAGGAAAAAATGACAAGAAAAAAGTGTGTATGTTCAGTACAGATGCAATCATTTTAAAAAATATTTTTGACCTGTGGTTGCTTGAATCCACAGATGTAGAACCAACTGATACAGAGGGCCAACTGCATACCTTTTTTTTGGCTGGGAGAGGGGAGGCAACTACATACAAGTTTTTAGAAAGTGTATTCGCAGTGACTAGCACAAAACCTGGCACACAAAAGGCAACCAGTAAATGCTGCATTAACCAAAACTAACCTAGCCCAGTTCTGTCTCTTACATAATACATGACGTCAGGCAAATCACTTCAGCCCTCTCAGTGTCAAGTCCCTAACTGCGTAAAGTGGGGCTGATATCACCAACTCGCCTCCTCTTGGAATATTCCAAGGATAAGTGAGAAAATGCACATAAACACCTATGATAAACACTATACAAAAAATTAGAAATGTGCTTCCATGCTATTTCAAAAATATTCCTAGACGTTAACATTCTAGTGAATAAAAAGCTGTGCAGATATTTTCACTGTTCCCTAAGTGGCTCAAAGCTGTTTTTAATTACAATTTATAAAAAAAGAAGAAACTAAACCAGCCCATAGACATTTATTATTTTTCCTAAACTGGTCTTTCTGAAAATAACAGTAAGAAAAACTGCACGTCATTCCATTAGGGTAATTTAGAAGCATCAGCTACAGATCATCACCTTCCTTTTGTTAAGTCCTCCCCTCACCTCAGACACTTTTATTTTTTGGCATTATCAGTTATCTAATGTTTGTCTTCATATCGACCTGACAATATACTTTTCCATGTACTGTTTACACCAATGACATTCTGAAATTTAGTGTTCTTTTCAGATCTTTTTAAGAAAGTTCTTTTTTCAGTTACCTGAATTTATTTCTTGTTGTTTGCTTTCATTGGTTAAGGGATTATCAAACAATTTCAAATATATTTCAATCGCTGATCTAGCAGCCTTGAAATAAAAGGCATGTCTTCTGAGTATGTCTTCTAATCTCAAAAGGTCAACATAGGCACGAAGGGTCATCTTTCTCATGCAGTATGTATGGAAGTCAAATTGATCATCAGTTATCTCAAAAAAATGCTTAAAAACAAAACCACAAAATTATCTCTTACATATATGTCAATAATGTCAACCTTTTGAAAGAAAATCATAAGAAGCCCCCAAAACAATTTAACCAATTACAATTTCACACAGTTGCCCTCTCGCATGTCCTATAAAGGACGTCAAGTTCTTTGCATTCAAGTTCTAGAGTTTCTTTCCTACAAATCATCTCCATTTCCTATAAATGTTTTGTGATGACATTCAAATTCGATGTGATAGTCAAAAGATCAGGTTTTTTAAACAAACATATTGATATTTTAGTTTTAATGAATTGTCTCTCCTCCATATTCCCTAAAAACTAGCACGGCAGAGTTTAACAGAGCTCTGAATAAAGACTAAACGTATGTAGGTTCACACTAAATGTTTTCAAATCAGACGGCTCTACTCAACTGTGATCTCTTCGAGGGCAAGGCTCGTCATTTTTATCCCTACTGCCTGGCACAGGGCCTAACAAACTAAGTAGACTTTCAGTAAGCACAGTATTTGCCAACTCAAGAGATAAGCTAGAGCCTTAATTATTTAATCTAAGTTAGGAATAAAGAAATCTACACAGCCAATTTCTTAAGGTTGTTAAAGGATCAAATAACTTAAGTTCATTTGCAACTGTAAACTGCTATACAAATTTAGGGCATTATGGTTTTCTCTTACTCAATAAGCTCTTAACCTACCTGCCTTCCATTCTAGCAGAAGTTCTTAATCTGGAGACTATGTATAAATAAGTATAATAACTTCTTCCTACGGAAAGAGCTCAAAACTTTCATCCAATTTTCAAGGGGTCCATGGTGAAAAAAGAGGTTAAGAACTAATACCTTCCATTAAAAGAAGAACACTAACCCCCTACCCCACAATAAAAATTTTTTACTATATTGTCTCCCTACATGCACTTCTACCTCTGACTTCTTTCTTTTCTCCTACTTCAGCTTCTCCAAAATTATACAGAAAAATGAATGATTCAGTACACCAATACAGATCAAGCTCTTCTACTACTTCATGTTCACTCTGTCTTTGGGGTCTAATTAAGTCACTGTGCAGAGGACACATTAGTAATTTTTCAAATCATTACATGATTATTTTGGTAAGTTAGAAACACACTATATACAGAATTATATTAAGTAACTGAGACTTTAAGAGAAGAATTCTAAAAATAAAAAGTACATAGTAAAAGAGGGCAAGAAATAGAAAAAAAAATGAACATTTCATATTAGTTTGTATTTATGACTAAAAAGCCATGCTTTAATGATGTTATTTAATACATTTGAAAACTGTATTCTTCCCACCAGTAAGATAAGTCCACTCACAAACAATAACATGAACTTTGTTTTATTTTTTAAAAATCAATGGATTACATATTTCATACAGTTGTTAGTGGTTTGCCTTAATGTAAATCAAGTTATATCTAGCACCATAAGAATACCTTAAAATTCAGTACAACTGACTAAGGAAAAATGGCAGTGCTAAAACTCATGGAACACACATCAGATGAAAACATCTAAAAGATTATAGGATCTTTTTTAGGTTGAGAAACGTGTAAAAGGCAGATGACAAGCTTCAAGAGATATTCCTAGCAGGAGCAGTAGACACAGATTTTAGGTCAAGTCTCAGAGGGAGCCATATGGAACCCCAAATATTTAAGGCGCCTCTTTATCAGTACTAGCCCATAGGCTGCCTCTCTCCAGTTAATGTCTTCCATAAATAGGGTGACCAACTCATCCTAGTTTGCCAGAGCCTTTCCCTGTTTTTCCATTGAAAGCACTGTGTCTTGGGAACCTGCTTAGCCTCAAGCAAACCTGGGTGGTTAATCACTCTATAATTAGCTAACAACTGTAGACAGAATATGGCTAGATTAAATTAGAAAAAGTAGGGTACTGCAGCTATGGCTTATTAATACTTTTGCTTTTGGAAAGAAATAGTATATCGCAGAATTCTACACAGGAACAACTAAATAATCTTGCATTGATTTTTTTTTTAACTTTTGGTTTTAGAATAATTATAGATACAGAAGAAGTTGCAAAGGAGGTACACAGAGGTCCTGTACACACCTCCCTCAGTTTCCCCCAAAAGTTACAGCCTACGTAACTATAGTACAATATCAAAACCAAGAAACTGACTTTGGTACAATGAGTGCATGTAGTTCTATGTGATTTTATCATGTGTAGACTCATGTAACCACCACCATTATCCAGATACAGAACTACTCCATCATCACAAAGCTCTCCCTTGTACTATCTGGGGTTGATATTTTATTCTCTAAATTTGAAATACATAAAGATATACTAGATAATACAAACAGATAAAGTTAGTTTCCCTGCAATTTTTAGCCAAACATGAAGGGCATGATAAAATCACTTACCAGCTCACTGCAGAAAACTAGGTATTTGAATCTTAACATATAGCTCATACCCTTAATTCTTTTCCCCTCAGCAAGAATTAAGAAAAGCCATTCACAGCTTTAGAGCTTCAGTGGTTGTTTTTGTTTTTTTTTTGAGACAGAGTCTCACTCTGTTGCCCGGGCTACAGTGCCGTGGCATCAGCCTACCTCACAGCAACCTCAAACTCCTGGGCTCAAGCAATCCTTCTGCCTCAGCCTCCCGAGTAGCTGGGACTACAGGTATGTGCCACCATGTCCAGCTAATTTTTTCTATATATTTTTAGTTGTCCGATTAATTTCTTTCTGTTTTTCAGTAGAGATGAGGTCTCGCTCTTGCTCAGGCTGGTCTCGAACTCCTCACCTTGAGTGATTCACCTGCCTTGGCCTCCCAGAGTGCTAGGATTACAGGCGTGAGCCACCGCGCCCGGCCGGTTGTTTTTTTTTTTTTAAGGAATTCCCTATTAGGTACTCTCTTTTGGCACAGATTCTCCTGCCCATTACCTCTTAGAAGTCCTAAATGCAACCGAGTTTATAAGAGAAAGGCAACAAAAACCTCTGAACTTAAAATATAATAACTAGATCAACTATCAGATCAAGCAACTCAATTTCTTTTATAGAGAATATGTCATTATAAAGCATGTGTCAATTTGATAAAGATTAAGATACAACAAAAGATAAAGTTGTAAGTTTCCTATGGTTTAGATCAGAAATCCTAGCTCTTATCAGAATTATAAATATGTATTTATTGCCCTGTTTCAAATTAGGTTGACACACTAAAAGAATGAGAACTCAATCGCCCGAAGTCTAATAGTAAGAGGAAAAAAAAGAAAGAAAACTCAATTCTTGAAAGATAAAATAGTTTAAAATGTTATAATGTTATTCTGAACACAGTTTACATCCAATTTTTTTTTTTTTTTTTGGAGAGAGAGTCTCCCTCTGTTGTCCCGACTAGAGTACAGTGGCATCATCATTGCTCACTGTAACCTTAAACTCCTAGGCTCAAGTGATCCTCCTGCCTCAGCCTCCCAGGTAGGTGGGACTACACGCACATGCCACCACACCTGCCTAATTTTTGTATTTTTTTGTAGAGACAGGGTCTCACTCTTGCTCAGGCTGGTCTCAAACTCCTGAGCTCAAGCAATCCTTCCACCTCGGCCTCCTAGAGTGCCAGTTATAGGCATGAGTACATCCAGTATTTTGAAGAAAGTAGTTTTTTTGTTTTAATAAAATTCAAGTTTCAAACATCAAATTGTGTTGAACTATATAACCTTTATAAATAATCCTAAAATTCTATGAAAGGGGCAAGGTGAAGACAGAAAAGGTACTCCACTGGGCCACTCTAGAATTCTAACTTTTTAAATTCAACTACTAAGAGCTCATTGCAATAAATACCTTAGCAGAAACTGCCTTCAACAAAAGACTTCTTGAAGGCAGAAGAAAGATCTGGCCCTTATTTGAACTTATTTCTCAATTTACTAACCTTCTGTTTAGAAGGTAAACTGCTGAGTTTTATTTCTGAAAGGTGTTCATTTCCTTATTAAAATACTTAAAACCCATGTATAAGGTAACTCATGCAGATACCAATTATAATAAATCTTTAAAGTTTGTAATTACTCCTAAATCCTTCCAATGACATCATTAAGAATGTTCTTTTAGATTAGAAATTAATTTAATAAACAATCATTAGGTCAACCTATTTAGTCACCCTATGTACTAAACACTCAGATTTCTACATATAACCACATATGTAGAACATAGTAACTACAAAAAAGTTAAGTTTTATTCGCTTTTAGTATGGATATATTCATTATAAAAAGACTAGCTCACAAGTAGCATAAGAATAGGCTCTTTTCTTATTTATCTGTTTCTAGTTCTTTTTATTCTCAAATGCCAACAACGAATCCTAAATATGGTCATAATTTCTACCAACAATTATGTAACATGACCAGAGGGTGATGAATTCTGTCACGTTTTAATCCCTATATTTTTTCTTCAAAAAATGCTTTTTACAATTAAATCATTTCTTGAACTAGAAGTAGTTTATCTGACATTACAGAATTTTATTCCATGCAACTCAGCCCATATCACTAAAATTTAAGGGAACGCATAATCTAAATGAAACTTAGTAATGGAAGATCTACCTATCATATTCTAAAAATTCTCAAAAATATTAAAAAGAGTAAAGCCATATCGTCATTAACATTAGGAGGAATGAGATTTAAGTTTAAGAATTTCACAACTATAATGATCCTTAGGATTTTCAAATTTCACGTACACCAACAATTTGTTAAATTTCTGATTATGGTCTTGTTGGAATTACTATTCCATAAGTGTCTAGCAGCTTCTTCATTCAGGAAACAATTCACCTCCCACTGAGAATGCCCTGGTTAATAAAAATGTATCTTTCCTTAATAACAAGCAGAATGCTTTTAAAGTGAGGGTCTTCTAGGGCAGTGGTCCCCAACCTTTTTGGTACCAGGGACCAGTTTCATGGAAGACAATTTTTCCACATACAGGGGATCAGGGGAATGGTTTCGGGATGATTCAAGCACATTGCATTTATCATGCAGGCGAACCACTCTGCTAATGATAATCTGTGTTTGCAGCCACTCCCCAGCATTAGCATCACCACCTCAGCTCCACCTCAGATTGTCAGGCATTAGATTCTGATAAGGAGCGCAACCTAGTCCCTCGCATGCGCAGTTTGGAGCACAGAGTTCGTGCTCTTATGGGGATCTAATGCTCCTGCTGATCTGACAGGAGGAAGAGCTTATGCGAGTGACGGGAGTGGCTGTAAATACAGATGAAGCTTCCCTAACTCTGCCTGCCACTCACCTCCTGCTGTGCAGCCCAGTTCCTAACAGGCTACAGACCGGTAACGGTCCTTGGCCCAAGGGTTGGGGACCACAGTTCTGGGAAGTGTTCAAACAAGCTAGTGATCTGCAATTTTATCACAGAAATAAGAACCTGATTTAAGCCAGAATGCTTGGATATTTTTGCATATCATCCAAGGGCTTTATATCGTTTTCAAGAAGATGAGAGGATTTTTCCCAGAGATAAAGCCATCAAGCCCAAGCTTAAAAAGGCAGGAAAAACAAAAACCCAAAACAAATAAAAAATTAGGTTATTCCTAAAAATCCTTGGGTATAATCCTAGTTCTAGTTCACATCAAAAGCCACCCCATAAGATTTAGCCTTCCTGGTGAGTAACCTCAGAAGTTTCACATGGGAAAAAGGCCAAAGCGACTGCCACGGTGCAGACATCAGGCTCACCTGACTACGATGCCTGTGGTTCTATATGCGTCAGCATGGGAACAGTGGTGCCGATTGCCCCCACAACTGAGGGCTGCTGAGGACTGCCTCAGGGGTGCATTTGCGGCTCTTTTCCTCCTGTGGTCCATGCGGAAGGAGAGTGCTTCAGAGATGACAAAGAACAGGAAAACAAAAATTCACACAAAGGAAAAGAAAAGTCCGCTCACTATGGCACATGGCACACATCATCCTAAAAGCAAGCAATAAAATAAGCCTCCAAACTGGCCATAGATTGCTGTACAGAGTATGAACGTAAGAACAAACATCCTGGGAAGACAAACTGGAGAGAGGCTGACTGCGGACCAGATCCTGACGTTTTAAAGGGGAGAGAGGTTGCCATCAGCTGTGTGTCCTCTTAGGCTAGCGATGAAAAGCAAATAATGGCCTAATTGGGGAACAGAAATTTTGAATTTATGTTAATAATAGCAATAGTGTTTTCTAAATTAATGTTTCTTTTTTCCTTCAAATAAAAATATATGGACATGTCAAAAGCACAACCATTTGAGGATCAAAAAAGCAATCCTTTTTTTTTTTTTTTTACAACTTCTAAATGTCTGGAAGATTAAAGATTAAGAATTTTTTTCACAATGAACCTCCCAGAGTAGTTAGAAGAAGCAGATGATCCTGTGTAGAAATCTACCTGCTTTTTTTGTCACCTTAGAGAAGAAAACTGAAGTAAAAATTCTAACTACTTACCCTTTCTACTTCATGGCATTTTTTCAAGGCATCCCCGTATCTCCCCAGACGCTGGTAAGCTGAAATGCACTCTGTCTGAAACCACATACACTGCATTTCATTTAGATTTTCCATGGCAGATGTTCCTTCCTGAAATGGAAGCATTCATAACCATAGGGAACAAACAATAAAACAGATCCTAAAAATCTCATTTTCTCTTTTACAACTATGACTGCTAGTATTTTTATGACAATAAGTAGCAATTAGCAAATACGCCAATGTGCTTCCATAAGGCGCCTACTAGTTGTAAATTACAGTAGTCCCTCCTTATCCACAGTTTCAATTTCGATGCAAATCAGTTTCAGTTACCCACAGTTAACCACAGTATGAAAACACTGATGGGAAAATTGTAGAAATAAACAATTCATAAGTCTTAAAGTGTGTGCCATTCCGAGTAGTGTGATAAAATCCTGCACCAACCTACTCTGTCTCACCTGGGACATGAGTATTCCCTTTGTCTAGCAGTATCTGCACTATCTACGCTACCTACCTGCCTGTTAGTCACTTAGGAGCCATCTTGGGTTATCAGGTCCAAAAAACACAGTACATACGTACGTACGTACCTAATGTCTTATTTATCTAGCTCTTTTGCGGTATTCAACACTACACAGAAAAGACTCCAAATTACTAAAGCTTAGTTTTTAAACACCAAAGCTTTTATTTCAACTATTTAAGACAGTAATCCTATGGAGCACTCCTTATCTTCTGCCGTTCAAGCAAATGCTACTTAGCCTTTCCTTGCTGACTCAGGGTGGCTATTAGCTACATCCATTATTTGTTGACTCTACTAAAGCTCTAGGCCTGTTTTTCAGTTTCCAATCTCCCTCTTTCAAGTTAGGTTATCAACATCATTGCCACTTTCTTTGT